AGTGAAGTATACACTTTGCTGTTTATATATTTGATGGCCAGCCCCTCACAGTCCCAGACAACGTGCCTTACTGTTCCTAATTACAGGGTCGACAGTGAACGTCTCCCATAAATATAGAAAAATATATATTTTCTACTATTTTACATAAAAGGAGCTATAAGCTATTTTGCATAAATATCCAGTACATACCCTATGTGAGTTTAAAAGTGTAAAATCATGATGTATCAAAAGATGTATCAAATCATGAGCGCGGAATATATTAGAGAGATTTTCAAATTATGGGTAATCATATTGGTAGATAGTTATTTTGCTCTTAAATTTCCAAAAAAGGAATATTTTTTGCTTAAATTTTTACAACCACTGGATTATTTCTGGGTTTTCTTTCTTGTAAATTTAATCTACTACCTATGTTGCCATATTATCAAGAAATTATGTTTTTTATCTAAAAACTAAAAAAAACTCCAATTTTTTTTCAAAAAATTCCAAATTTTAAAAATTTTTCTTTTGCGAAAAAGAAATTATAATCGTGTTGTTGTATAATAAAAATTACAATTTTGTACTATTTTTCATAGAGGTGAATTTTCAATGCATATCCATTATTCTTGTGTTCATATTCATATTCATATGTTTTCTTATGCCATTTAATACCATCAGTAATACCTTTAGGTACCTTATGCCATTTAATACCAACAGAAATAACCGTTCAATCTTGAACGTTATTCATTATATTATTACCGACACCACATTATGTTTGGAAGGTATTTTGATGTTTCACTTCTGACGCAGAGTGATCACAAAAGTTTCTTAAATTTCGCAGTTATGAAGTAATGAAAATTTCAATCGTCACAAAAAAAGGTGGAGACACTATATATTTGTGTATATTTTGGGAGCCTTCCAAACAGGCCGTCACTATAATAGAAATATCAAGTTATTATATCTAAAATGTAAAATAACCTAGATCCATATATGCCCAGACGCGCAACAAATATTACGACCAATAAACTACACCGAAAATATTCAACAAATTTCCTGTTTACGTGTGAAACGACTCTAATAATATTCGTCAAAAACCTTCTGCAAAAGGAATCCTGCACTGCCCGTGCTTATTGTACTAACAGACTGAAGAGAGGAAATAAAAAAAATTAGAGATATACGAAAAAAGAAAGACGGAGAAGAAAGAAGGTAAAAAACGAAATATTTATAATATTCTGCTAAAATAAGTTCCATGAAGAAACTGATGTGAGCTTAAAAGAGCACAAAGTTTAGATAGATTTTCAAATTGTCGGTTATACCCTAAGGTTATACCGGGTGCGTCTCAAAAGTGGCTGTGTGTTCCCTATAACTTTTTTTTTATTTTTTCAGATAAAAAAATGAGATTTGGTATGTTAGTATATAACATAAATTAAGATTGATTGACGTATTCAACTGTTTTTGGTCACTTCCTGTTACACCGGAAATGACTACAACTTTTGATTTTTAAATGACATCTTTGGTATTTTTTACTTTATTCGACAGAAAATGATATTCTGAATAGAATGACATATGATATGTCAACTTTTGACATTCTCGTTTAATAAAAAATCGTATTTTAAAATGCAATCTAGATGTGAAAAACACTAATTCTTAATCAAGGAGCCTTGGAAAAATAGACTTGATTGTCTAATGTTTTTAGTGTCTTGTCCTGGTCAGTTAGAAAATGCTCAAATCGTATTTTTAGTCATATCTCAATTTTTTCAAATGGAACGAGGGTAGCTCATTAAAATATTTCGAAAAAGAATTTTTTACGAATAATGTGATACCACACACTTCTAGGTATTTAGAGTCAAATTTTCGTTACGAACCGCAAGTTATAATTTCAAATATATATCATATGCGAAAATGTCAAAAGTTGACATATGATAGGTTATTCTATTCAGAGTGTTATTTTCTATCAAATAAAGTAAGAAAATACTGAGGGTGCCATTTAAAAATCAAAAGTTGTAGTCATTTCCGGTAAGACAGGAAGTTACCGAAAACAATTGAATACGTTAGTCAATCCAAATTTATGTCGTATACTAACATGCCAAATCTCGTTTTTTTTATCTGAAAAAATAAAAAAGTTATAGCGGTAAGCCATTTTTGAGATGCACGCAGTATAGGTAATATAAATAACAATAATTTTGTACTATTTTTTCATTAAAGACGAAAATGTTCAACGCATATATATACATATTGACTCACCTAACTTTTGAAGAACTTATAAGGAAAGCCGAGAATCGTGAAAATTTTGCCAATGTGATCGCCAACCTCCACGAAAGAGACGGCACGTAAAGAAGAAGATATCCATTATTCTTGAAGCGATTAAGTACTATATATTCATATGTTTTCTTATGCCATTTAATACCATCAGTTATACCTTTATGTACATTATGCCATATAATACCATCAGAAATAACCGTTCAATCATGAACGTTATCAATTATGGTATTACCTACACCACACCATGTTTGAAAGGTATTGTTAATGGTAATGTTATGTGGTTAAATTTCGCAGTAATGAACTCGTCACAAATATAGATGCAGACACTATACATTTGTGAATATTTTGAGAGCTTTCCAGACAGGCAGTCACTATAATAGATATATCAAGTTATTATACCTATAATGTAAAATAACATAGACCTATAGGCCAGACGCGTAACAAATATTACGACCAATAAACTAAACCGAAAATATTCAACAAATTTCCTGTTTACGTGTGAAACGACCCTAATAATATTCGTCAAAGACCTTCGGCAAAAGGAATCCTGCACTGCCCATGTCCATTGTGCTACCAGACTGAAGAGAGGGAAATAAAAAAATTGTATACAGATATACGAAAAAAGAAAGACGGAGAAGAGAGAGGTAAAAAACGAAAGATTCATATTTTCTACCGAAACACAAAAGTTTGATGAATACGGGACCCGACTCACAGGTGTTGGCTCGAGAGATATTTCATCGTTTCTGTTCATCGGCGGTTCTAATGGGACGCGACGTGACTCTTGAATCGGACGGTCGGAAAAATATGTGAAGCCGAAAAGGACGACGGACGCGGACGCGACTTTCGGTTTAATAGGCGACGAGAGATTTTTTCTTTTGCTTTGGCTGAGGATAAATTGAACCAACAACCGTTATGAATTTCGAAATCAATTCTGAAAGATTTTTTTTTAGTTTTTTTGTCTTTTGAATAAAATTTTAGGCATTAATGAAAATGAAAAAATATATATTAATTCACATGATTTAAAAGTAATTTTTATATACATGTTTCAAAAGTTAAATATCGTTGTAAGACTCTAAATCATGAGAATTAAATTACCTACAATATCATCTTCATCATCATTTTCAGCTTATTCCACCATTTCCAATTATGGTGTAGTCTCCCTCACATATTTAGATGCTCTCTTTGCAGTTGTGCCTATTATTGTCTATTGTTAGCTATGCGGGCTCAAGTTATCCCTTCTAATTTCCTAATGTCATGGTCCCATCTCAAGTTTGGTCTTCCTCTAGGTCTCTTGATTCCTCGTGGGTACCATGCTGTAACTTTTGTGGTCCATCTGTTTTCTGTCCTTGCCAGATATCCTGCCCATTGCCACTTGAGGGATTTGATTCTGTTGATGACATCTATTACCTATATCTTTTATCGGATCCATTCTATTCTTTTACGGTCTCTCTTGGTTATTGCGACGTGCAGTTTGCTACCTGCAGTTTCCTTATAATGTCCGTTTTAAGTGTCCCTGTATCCCATGTATAGGGTATGACTGGTAGTACAGATTGGTCGAATGTTCTCTTCTTTAGATAAAAGCGCATTCTAGATTTGAATATGATTGAGTTTCTTCTATAAGTACTCCATGCTAACTTAATTCTTCTGTTAATTTCTGGTAGTAGAGATCCTGAGCTGCTTATTACTTGCCCAAATATATATATTCTTCTACTATTTCCTGTGTGTTGGACCTTGAATAAATGTGAGAAAGGTTTCGATGGTTTCTCTGTCTTTCGTTTTCTGTCTTTCGTCCAGCTGCTTCCCTTCATGAGTTCCAGGCTGAGTAGAGCGCTATTTTAATTTATTTTTTTTTAATTAAAATTAAAATTTATAAAAAAATAAAATAGTAGTATACAAATATTTAAATAAAATAAGTAGAGATATTTACAAATTTAGTGGGGTATTGGGGCACGAGGACCACAGGGGTGCCGAAAATACAGATTAAATGGCCGTTAGGCCATTAATCGTTTCTTATCCATTAATCGCATCTTGTTAAAGACTCATCAATGCCATTCATAATTCCAGAATATTTCACAACACAGACAAGCAATCAATCAGATCAGGTGATCAACAAATCAGATAGGCAAAAATGTTTTTAGTAGAATATTCGCCAAAATTTGCGACAAACCTGATAGGCAAAGACAAGGAGACTGCCAAACCTGTAGTGGGTCTACTAACAGGGCACTTTAAACTTAATAGGCATCTAAAGGTGATGAAACTGACGGACAAGGTCATGTACAGATTTTGTCAATCTGAAGAAGAAGCGAGAGAACACACGTTATGTCAGCGTGTCAAAAGTATGGTTCTTTGTACTAAAGCCATTGACAAACAGCTATTTAGAGGGTTCAGTCTCCAAGTAATTGGACTTTCTGAAGGATAGCACTGGAGAATGTAACCTAGAGATCAAAAGGAAGCCAAAATAAATTTGAAAGGGTCGCAGTGGAACAGGCCAATAGACACTTACACAAATCCAATCTATCTAATCTGATTTAATCTACAAATTTAGTGGTTGATTTACATGACCCATTCTCCTCAAATTTCCCATCCGAGTTAAGTCAAATAAAAAAAATAATTAATAACACAACGTAGCTTAGGTAAGTCCTATATTTTATTTAAACTATTTGTGATACAGTAGTTTTCCACAAGTTCTTCTCTTCAACATTGTTGGACGACGCTGAGTATATATTATAGTTATTTATTGCGTCTCCAAAATATATTAAAATATGAAAGGAAAACTCGAGAAACAAATTACGAATAGGAACGAACAACAAGGTTTTAGACGAAATCAATCAAATACAGACGCCATATTTATCATTAAACAAATTAAAGAAAAAGCAATAGAGTTTAATACACCAGCCTATATATGTTTCAACGACTTGACTCAAGCATTCGATAGAGTACGCCTATCTGACATTATAATATACATACCAACACCAGGAGGCATTAGACAAGGAGACAGCCTTAGTCCCTTCTTATTTAATCTCTTAATGGACATCATGATAGAAAAGGTGACATCGATGAATAACGGTAATCGAATGGGACACAACAGAGTTAGCATGGTGTGTTACGCTGATGATGCAGCCAATATCGGAGACAGAGGACAATATGCAGATACAGCTTCATAAATTCTATCAAGTAAGCCAAGAATTAAATATAATTATCTCTACAGAAAAAAAACTAAATGCTTAACTTTCTCTAAAGAACCGGTAAGATGCAAACTGGTAGTAGAAAACAAAATTATTGAGTATCACAATTCAGATACCTAGGAATAGATATGTCGTACTACCATGATCCAGAGAAAGATCTGAGAAGTCAGATAAAAAGAGCAACGGCCATGTCAGGATGTCTGAGGCAATTAGTGTGGACAAACGCCTTCATGCGAACACATATGGCATAGAAATCCGAGAGGAAACAAACAATACCAAGATCCGAGAGCATGTTAAGAGTCGCTAAAATGAAGAACCTAAGAACCATAATGGGGAAGACTAAAAGAGACAGAATTAGAAACACAAATATCAGACAACAATTTGGAATATAGGACGTAGTGAGATGAGGTAGGCAAAGAATGCAAGCAATGGTTCACACACGTTAAACGCATGAAAAAAACAGGCTACCACGCATTGCTCTTGAAGGGAAAATTCATGGGTATGAGACAGCCGGGAAGACCTCCAAAAAGACGGAAAGACAGTTGGCAATCTCCCAAGAACTCCTACAGAGGCAACCTTAAAACTAGCAGATCGACTAGATCTCAAATAAGTAAAAGAAGAAGATTGAACCCGACATACCAAACCGCATTTTTCCCTGTACACGTACCATACCCAAAAATTCGCCTCCCATAAAAACCCAATCTCGTAAAAAATATCAATTTCGCCCGGCCCATCGGGAATATCGAACCGCATTCGCCCGAACGGCGTCCAGATAAGTGTTAAACAAAACCAATTAAGTCCGCATTCAGCCTTAGATAACGTATTGCGTAAAGGTCCCATTTGATGTTGACCGAAAACACGAATAAAAAGCCGTAAAATTCGAGAATATAACCCACCTGTACCTACCTGGGTCCGAGCGAACCGTTCCGTTTTATTTCTCCACCCGACTACTGGTTTTATATAAAATGTGTCATTGCGTCGAGCTTAATTTGAAAATACGGCCGTAAGTTAAGGTTCCGTGGAACCCATTCGCTCGTACAATTAAGAGAGATGATGCGCGCAGCCTGTATATATAAAGCGGTATCATTTTTTAATCGAAAAACGAGAAGCAGCTCGTCATAAAATCACTTACGATGCGACCGGACGATCCATAAAAGAAAACCATTTTTCGGATAAATACGATGACAGTATTCGATTATTGGAAGAGATTCTTGGAAAATCTAAAGTTTATTGAAACTCTCGGCTAACCCTGACACTTTCTCATAACAAAATTTATGTCTTCAGATTTACTGACAATGACTTTCTTGTTGTTAGAACGACAGTTCCGGAATAGAACGCTCCAAGACAGACTTAGCACTCTAACCTCCAAACCCAGAATCGGAAAACTCCGACTGGTGGAAGATGCCGAATATCGTACGAAGCGCGTTATGTGTACATGCCCAGCAGGGAGCAGAACCAGGTTTGAATTGTTTGGCAAAACTATATATGCTAGACTTCAAGAAATTATCAACATGGTAACATATCATCCGCAGATATAACCATACCTATATTAAAAGTTTGGGTCTAGAGTGTGAAATTTAAAGTTTGTAAACCTAAGCCACAATAGACTCTTGCGTGTCTCCAAGGGACCTACTTCAACTAAAACTTACTCCTAGTGAAAATTTAAATGAGGAGAAAGCTGATCGTCCAATGAAGAAACAGGCATGAGCACAGACACAGCAAGACCTTCATTCAACGACCTAATTCTAAAACAATAAAGGAATTTGTTAATGCTCAGCAAGAATAAAGTACGGATTACAATAGATCTCTTGGTGCCATAGAACTGTCACCTGAACAAGCTTAACCTGTATGAAGAAAATAAAACCTAAAACTTTTGATAACAAACAATGAACCATAATCTAGTACCCCTGGCAATGCAAGTATTGAAATTTCCATAATATGGACCAACGCTAGAATTCTAGGTGGATACGCTCATCTGCATCCAATTGCGAAACGTGTAATGCCATGCTCTAGTATTAAAGCTCAGTAGTTTTAAGATTTAGTTTATTTTACATTTGATAACGGCCAGTGCTATATCTGTCCGAAACGTTGTGTAAATTTGAAAATTGTGTGTGCACTGTGTGTGCACTATGTGCGCATATTTGAAGTGAAATTTCTTCTTACTTTCGTCTGTCTGTCTGTTCGTCTGTGAACTCCATTCGGCTACCTATATCCACGTGCCGAGTTTGGTTCCAATCAACCCATTATTAAGAAAAATTCTGATAATTTCATCCATTTCGAGGGCGTCATCCTGTAGCCCGTCCTCAATTATGCCGAAATCGACCCACTTTTTTCTTCAATATCGAATCGTTAATCCCACCCTAATATAGAGGTAAATGAAACGTCGTATCCAACTTTGCAGGGTTGGACCGTGTTCCTATAATATTTATTATGTTATGTTTTAATAGATATTTGCATTTTTAATTCAAAATTTTAGGGCTTTTGCCTGAAATGCAGTTAAGTTGGTTAATATTGTTTGATGTGAAATTTAAGTTACCTATACTTCTTTCTTTACTTGTATTCATGTTAATTTTCTCATGACTGATTACTTAATAATTTGATATTATTTTCATTAAAAATCTCAATTTTTATCATTATACTTTGAAAAACCATCCCTTGCTTTCTGATTGATGAACTGCACGACCATTAAAATTCCCGGTTCCGAAAAACAGCTCCGGTTCCGGCAACCCTAGTACAAAGCACAGGAAAACTGCATATTAAAGTTCCATCAGTTGCAACTCCTACATTGGGAAAGCTAAATGAAAGCTAAATGAAGAAGGCCGACATCAACATTCAATACAGCATGTATAGATATGAATATACCCATATTTCATTAATATATTGATTGAATATACGAACATTAAGAACAAACAATACATGATATATGAAATCACAGAGTAGCCTACATAAATATTTTACAGCACCTTTCCCCATGCCCATCCCTGCTTAAAACAGAAGCCGACGGAATGGTCATAATGCCACCGACACATCAAGCCATGGCGAATCGGCCTCGCCGCATGTATGTATACGCGTCCGTCGGACTGACCGTAAAAAACGGACGCCAATTAATCTTGGCACACGGTCTTCGCGGACCGCTTACTTCTCTTAATTCGTGCAGGGATCGGACGGACGAATGGACAGCAGTCGGGACACTCATCAGCTGAATCAGTGACGTACGGTAATAATTCAGGCGTTTCATTACATATTTATGCTATTATTAGTGTATACGAGCAGAAAAACTATAAGTGGCACATCAGTGAGTTAAGAATTGAAAGAAAGTAGATGTAGCGGTATGCGAGCCCAATTGTAGACTGTCGAACCTTTGTTCATTATTATCAAACCACATTTTCCGGATGCAACATTTCGGATTTCCATTGTTTTTTTTATTTTTGTTTACACAGCGTTTCGGTCAGAAGTATCACTAACCATTTTCAAGTGTGAACTGGATACACATCTAAAACTGGAGTTCACACTTGATGACGGTCAGTGATACTTGTGACCGAAACGTTGAGTAAGTAAAAATAAATAAAGACAATGGAAGACCGAAATTATTTTAGTTTTAATATTGACTCATTGTCTACCACCATTCATGGATATAAATTACTACATTCAAATTTCTATCTTATATCGATTTGAAGTGTAGCCAATCTCTAAAGAATTTGACTAGTTAGAATAATACTCGGAATAATAACTCTGACTTGGATACCAGAACCTGTAGATATCGAAAATAATAAAGACAAAAATCGTTCTGCTAATATCCACAAAGAGAAATATGTCTCTTTATAAATGTTGGAGGACCAAGGGCTTCAAAAAGAAGTGTCATGCTTGGGGTAGTTCATTCGCACATTACTCTACATTACTCTACTCCAGTATAGATACAAGCGATATCTAAAGTCCAAGATAAAATAAAGCTTGCTCGATTGCAACGGCTTAGGATTATCTCGGGAGATGCAGCCTTGGTTATAGCAAGTATTTCTCCCATACAGTTACTTCTGCGAGAAAGGCACGAAACAAATATGGGTCTTTATAAACAAGAGACACGAGAACACCTACTAAATGCATGGCAGCTGCAATGGAAGAACTCCAATATTGCTGCTAGATGGACTTACAGGATAATTCGGGACTTAAAACAGTTGGAAGTTGATTATTTTATTGCGCAAGCCCTCTCCGGTCATGAAGGCTTTTACAAATACTTCTACAAATGTACTCGATCACAAACCGACAGATGCTCATATTGTAAAATGGAGGACGATGTTGAGCATACAATCCTCAACTGTCCACGTTGAATCAATGAGAGAAAATATTTTAGATACAGACTGGACAAATATTTATAGTAAGATAATATAGTCATAAAGGGCATGTGTGCCAGACTGGCCATAAAAACAAAAATTACATTCAAGGCGATGCGTAAAGAAGCATAAAGCTTGAATTTCATGCATCCGTTGTCCGACGATACGTTGATACGATATTAATTTCATTGGTTGTATTTAAAGGCTTCGATTGGTTAACCGTTTCTAACCAATCGAAGTGTTTAAATTCAACCAATAAAATTAATATCGTATCAACGTATCGTCGGACAACGGATGCATGAAAATCAAGCTTAAGTCATCGAAATATAAATGCAATTCTAACTGGACGTTGCCAATTCTATGAACGCCTTTACAAAATGAACCTAAAATGTAAATGGAAATATTTCCAACGGAATAGGAATATTTAAAATTTCTGAACTTGTCTCGGAAATATCGGAAATATTCAAAAAACTATTCAATATAAAATAATACGTATCCTAAACGATTCAACAAAAAATTTTATGACTATATTATCTTATATATTTTTAATCCTATAAGCGTTTAACAATATATGTAATTTATTATGAATATCCCGAGCTCGACGATTCACCGATTTATTGGCACCATTGGTTCTACGGGTGGCACTTGGGA